TTGAAATCTATCTGCTGTCGAGAGTCTTGCTCGGCTTTCTTCTCCTCGCGATGGTCTGCAAGGTTTTTTTCAGATATACCTTTCGGACTAGATCCTCGATCTGATGCTTCAGCTGGATACATTCTTCGGTGTTGTGTCCATGGGCATCATGGAATTCACACCACTTGTCTTTGTTTTTGCTTTGGTGCCACGATGGTGGCGCCCGCGGCTTCTTCCACTTCTCGTCATTCTTCGTTATGCTATAGATTTTAGCACGAGGAAGAGCGAGAGGGGTGTAGGATTCGTATTTCCCTACGAATGAGGTTTTGTCTTTCTTCGGTTCAGCAGCCGAGGAAGGTTCTGAGGCTTTCACCTTCCCTTTCTTTTGGCTCTAGCCTTCGGACAGATGTCCTTTTGCCTTACCAATCCCAGTTTGCGGTTGGGACTTGGTTTTATTCCATTCCTCGGCCCGGATGTATTTGTCCGAAGCATCAAGGGCTTCCTCCAAGGTATGCGAGGTATGCATGACCATGAAGTCGAGGAAATTTCCGGCTTGCAGCCCGTTCCGTAATGCGAAAATAGCCAGCCCTTGGTCCAGACTTGTGATCGTGGAGGACTCGTTGCTGAAGCGGGTCAGATAGTCTCAGAGGCTCTCGTCCTCCCTTTGCTGCAAGCCCATAAGCTCTGTAGTGGTTATCTCTCGGCAGTTTTCCATAGAGAATTTTTTCTTGAACTTGTTAGAGAGGTCCTTCCAACCGGTTATCGAGCCTTCCTTCAACCCTTTGGTGATCCACGCTTGCGCGACACCTTTTAGGGTAGTTGGGAAATATTTACACCAGGTCACTTCGGACCTGGGGTTCAGATACATGTGCCCCTCGTAGGAGGCAATGTGGTCCTTCGGATCCGAAGTCCCATCGTACGTGATGTGTGCCGGGATTTTCACTGTTGGCACTCTTTCTTCCAGGATCCACTTTTGGAATGGGGAACTAGAAGGTACCATCACAGCTTTCCCCTTGGTCTCAGCCGTTGGGACCTCGCTTCCTCCCTTGTGAGAGGTGGAAGTGGTTTTTGTCCTCAACTGGGACCGTGAAGGGTAGGGTTGATTTCCGTCAGGGTAGGTGAGGCGGTTGTGAAAGTTTCGGCGAGTAGTTTCTTGCTGCATGGAAGCGGTGTTGCTGCTTTTGAAGCTATGAGGTTCAGACTCCTCAAAGAACTAGGGATTTCTTTTTCCCAGCTCAGTTCTCCAAGTGTCTTCCTCCCAGTGCTCCCAAAGCTCTTTGTGGGATGGATCTCGTCCTCCATCTTCTTGTCCTACTCTCCTTCTCAAATTTCTCGGCTACTCTATTGTGTCAGTGTGCACCGAGGAGACAGGAGGTGGGAATTGTTGGTTTGCATGGGCCTTCATAATGTCCATGAAGACCGCAAGGGCCTTTGCCACCTCTTCCGAAGTGGGATCCGTCTAGGGTGTCCCCCTCGGGTGAGATTGTGAATGGCGGCTAGGAGTTGGACTCTTAGCATTTTACTAACTCGGCCGACGAGAACTCAACGGTTGACCAGTGTTGTGAGATGGTCTCTCCAGTGTGGCTCTTTCAGATGAAGCAGCCTCCGAAGATGAAGATGAAGAAGGACCCTTCTTCGAGGAAGAAGGATTAGTTTTCTTCACGCTCTTAGTCATGTTGCTAAGATGATTGATTTTTAGCTTGTTTTGATTGTCCTCCCCACAAACGGCGCCAAATTGTTTCGGATGAAAACAATGGGTCCTTCGGACGGACCTCTCTTGTGGGATGAAGATTGGACTCGGCCCAAGTGATGACTAGGAAGAGGGTTTATTGCACAGCAAGCACACGTAAACTGGCCTCGGGGGTGGTGCCGAGGAAGGCCCCTCCGATGCCAAAGTTAGTACGGTGCTTTTTGAGAGAGAAAGCTATGCAAGAGTATTAATTGCTTAAGGCTTAATGTGAATGAATTGGGAGAGAGAGGAGTGAAGGCTTTTATACCTTAATCAAATAGCTTTAATGGGCCTCTAAGCCAAGTGGACTTGCCACGCTGGCTGGGCCTTGGTTGACTTACTTGGCATGCTTGTAGGGGGTTGAACCTTCTTTGGGCTTTTAATTGAATCATTTGTGGGCTGGCCCAATTAAAGTGAATTGGACCCAAACAATGACCATGTAGGGATTCAAGAGCCTTGGGCTATAAGAATCAATATGAATCGTTAGAGAGTGAGCCATTTAAAGAAATAGCTGAAGGTGGGAGGCATGGAACTAGTGCCACATCCAATCCACCATTAATTGTATTGTTGTACAATGTACTATGTACTCTATAGTATTATATATTTATATGAGTTAGAATGTACTCGTACTAATGTACAAGATATAACATTTGTAATGAAAGCTAATCTTATATGGTTATTGGAAAATTGAGTTATGGAATGTAGTAAGCTATTGGGGTTTTTTTTTTTAAAAAAAAATAAAAATAAAAAGTGGTGTATAGAATTTGGGATTTAAGTTTGAGGGAATCCCAATTTCTCATACTCCCCCGTTTCATATTAAATGCAATATTAGTGGGGGAGAGAAATTATAAAATAATGGTGGGTTTTTGCCAAAAATAGTAGTGTTTCAATTATTATGAAACGGTCAAAATGAAAAAAGTTGCATTTAATATGAAACGGGGGGAGTATTGATAAACACAATTGTATTTCAAAATGGCACTCTGGTAAATATAAACAAATTTTTAAATATTTTATATTTTTTGTTCTTTTTCGCTTCTCATTTTTTGTCTTCCTTCACGGCTTTACCTCTGTACTCCATTGAACATTTGTGAACTATTATACTCAAAATGGAGGAGAAGAGAAGGCCCTTAAGATTAATTTACAATATTAACCCAATTTAAATACTCAAAATGATACAATTACCCCTTTGAGATACTTGTCATATTTATCAATATGAGAAATATGAATTTAAGTTTTTTCAGAGTTATTTCATAGTTAAAAGTTGATAAAGCTAAGTCCTAGATTATTAGTTTGTTATGTACTACTCCGTACATACATTTTTAAAAAAAATTGGGCTCCAATACATTAATAATTGATACAGAATAGGCCCACTAACAACAAGGTCTAATGTAAAAATAGGCTTTGCTTAAGGTCAAATGACATACAGACAAATAACCATAAGGGTGTTTGATATTCTACCAAACACAGTATAATTAGTGCATGTTTGGAGGTAAAATTTGTCATGAAATACTTCTACTTAGTCTAATTACTGTGTTCATATGATGTAGTTTGTGCTTGCTTCATTGAGTTTTGATCGATAAGGTAGAGTTTAATTTTGGGAAAAGAATTCTCTGACCTTAGTGTATACAGTTATATATTGGGATTTTCTAATATATGCCTATGTTTTCAATACGTATTGGACATGCAAATTGATGCAATACACCTGGTAAACGCGTGTTTAGTAGTCTACTCAACAATACCAGAAAATGAAGAGTATTTTCAAACAAGAGTTACAAAACCCGGTAGTTGATCTACGGAACGAATAACATGGAATGAAAAGCTAAGCTACATCTACGTGACCATTTTCATTAAAGGGATGGTATTTAAAGTTCCCAGCATACATGACAAAAAAGCATAGCTCACAGCTACTTAAGTAAGCCGCACCTACCATTGATCTTGGTCAGAAATAATGGTTTTTTTAGACAAATAAAATATCCCTAAATCGTGATTGAATGAGATCATGCATAGTATATATATTAAGGAATGGAGACCCAATAATTATGATCTACTACATATTCTTAGATCCTTAATACTATTGCATTACCATAAAATAAAACCAAGTGTATCTAATAATAATATTAGTTCTAAGATGTGAGACAATAATCTTAAAGAATGTTATTTAAATGTTAATGGTCCTCACATTATTATTATTAATCAATAATTCAAACATATAAACATGTTTTATGTCAAAAAACATGGATGAATGTGATTGTCAAGTGATGCCTCAAATTAGTATGGCATTGTAGTGGGTAGGGGTGAGCAAAAAATCAGGGTAGCTTAAATCGGAACCTAAACCTGTTAGGAACCGCAGGTTCCGGAATCGAAATCTGTACAAGAGGTTCCGGTTTCGGGTAGTAAAATGGAGAACCTGGTTCCGATTCCGGTTCTCAATTTTTTGGAACTAGAACCTGTGGGGTACCTTGTAACCTGTTAAATGTATCACTTAATTTTAAATTATACACCAATTTTAACTTATTTTTTAAATAATAAATATTAAAATCACAATTATAAATATACGTATTAAATTTGTTAGATAACTACTATTAGTTTGTTTATTTTTCAAGTTATAAACCTTATAAATTAGTGACCAATCAGTTTTTTTATTAAAAAAATCTGCATAAAGTTAGTAAGTATATTACAAGACATGGTACTTTGAGGTTCCGGTTCCGATTCCCATTTTGAGGAACCTGTTGCAACAGGTTCCAGTTTCGATTTCAAGAATTTTTATAAGATACCCTGTTATGATCACCCCTAATAGTGGGCCAAGTGGGACCAATGAATATACATACGTGCGTGGCTGCTCTTAAATCAAATACATGTATGATTTTCCTATATTATATTATCAAGTATGATGTATAACAAGTTGGTTTCGTGGTGTAGTTGGTTATCACGTCAGTCTAACACACTAAGAGTATGTTTGGATAGATTTGGGGGGAGGAAAAGAGAGGGAGGGAGGAGAAGGGTATAGAGAATTGGAGAAGAATTGTTGTATTTTCATTAAAGACAAACCAAACTTATATACAATTACAACCCTAAGTAATACGGTTACAATAAAAGCAATAGAAGATATACAACCTAACATTAAGGAGAGAATTAAGGGAAGATAATTGAGAATATTATTTACATGTAAATTACTAGAATCAAGAAGAGTATTAAGGGGAATATTGAGTATAATGTGCAAGTATCATCAGTGATTAAATCAAGGATCAAATCAAGGATTGACCTTGACTTGATTATTCCTTATTATGCCCCCTCAAAATCGTTGGCCTAGTGGAAAGACCAATTTTGCGAACATAGAAGTATAAGTTGTGCGTGGGAGTGGTTTTGTTAGAGCATCTGCCAATTGATCATTAGTAGATATGTAAGACACTCGGAGTTTGCCTGATTGTACATTTTCACGAACAAAATGATAGTCTAGCCCGAGGTGCTTCATTTTTGAATGAAATACCGGGTTTGCACTGACATAAGTAGCACCGGCGTTGTCACAATATATAGGAGTAGTCGGAAGTGTTAATCCTAGCTCTTGAAACAGATTACGAATCCATAGAATTTCAGTTGTTGCACTAGCCACAGTTCGATATTCTGTCTCTGTTGAGGAGCGAGCTCGAGTCTTTTTCTTTCTTGATGTCCATGATATAGGATTTCTGCCAAGATACACAATGTAGGCTGTAGTTGATATATAATCATCCTTATCACGTGCCCAATCGGCATCCGAGAAAGCATGAAGAGTAGATGGAGAATTTTTTATGAATAATCAGCCCCATGTTAGTCGTCCCACTTAGATATCGGAGTAGCCTTTTTAATGCTTGCCAATGATCTTCCGTCGGGCGTTGCATATACTGAGCTAATTTGTTTACCGAGAAAGCGACATCCGGTCGAGTGAGGCTAAGGTATTGTAGACTGCCAACAAGATTACGATATTTAGTGGGATCTTGTAAAGACTTGCCTTCTAACATCAATGGAGCATGAGTTGCAAGAGGAGTAGCAACTGGTTTGACATCATCCATTTTAGCCTTGCATAATATATCATTAATGTATTTCTTTTGGCTCAAGAACAAACCATCAGGGTGTGGTAGAATTTCAACTCCCAAAAAATAAGATAATTCTCCCAAATCCTTGAGGGAAAACCGTTGTGATATTTTTGAGATGAAATCTTCTAGAAATTGTGGTGTATTGCTAGCAACAATTATATCATCTACATAGACCAACAAATAAATAATTGATCCATTTAGATGTAGAGTAAATAATGATGAGTCAGAAATTGTGTTCTTGAACCCGAAATCAAGTAAAAATTGACGGAGCTCCTTGTACCACGCCCTTGGGGCTTGTTTGAGTCCATACAATGCCTTGTTTAACTGACACACATAATTCGGATTAGTTGCATCATTGTAACCCGGTGGTTGTATGGTGTAAACCTCATCTGTAATAGTTACTGTTGAAACAAAGTGTGTTTTGGGTGTGAATTTTGTGAAAATCACAAAGTCCCACATTGGTGGGAAATGAAACTTTTTCCTTCTTTATAATGTATAGTGTGGTATACTTGGGTGTAGCCCAAGGGCTACCCACATTTTGTGGAAAGGGAAGATTTACCTATCGAACCAACCTAACACACTCGTACACCGAGCTGGGTCAGATCGGGTTTATTAAACAAACTTAATTTTTATACTTCCGTAATTAAAGCCTTGATTGTTGCTTACGGTTTTGATTACTGCTGTATTAATTTATTCCGTTTTAAGCAGATTTTATTCTCACTTAATTGTGCTAATTCTTTGCTTGAAACGTTCGAATCATACGGCATTCTTCAGCATTTCAAAAGACAGAAAAATTATTTTCTAATCTGCTTCCTCTTAAAATACAGAATTTGAGTAGTTTTCTTATAGTTTTGGTGTTTAGTTTGTCCGGTGGTTCTGTGCAAATCCATCGTTATATTTTTATTTCGAGAGACTGTTTTATCTTGGGGAGCATCGGGTTGTGGTTCGATCTGCTTGCACAAATTAGAGGCAGTATTGTGAATGTTCTAAAGAAAGCAACATAGTCCGCGACTCAGCCTTATTCCCAGTAACATTGTTCTTAATATTTTTGTTCCTGCAGTTCCGTTTCTAACAGTTCCCTGCAAAAAGGCATTGTTAATGTCAAGTTGGCGCAAAGACCAACCTTGACTAGTAGCAACTGATAGAATGAGACGAACTGTGGTAGGTTTGACGACTGGACTAAAGGTCTCATTATAATCTACACCCGGTCGTTGATGAAAACCTCTTGCCACGAGACGGGCCTTGTATTGTTTGATGGTACCATCAGGATGTCGTTTAATACGAAATACCCATTTGCACCCAATCACATTTTTTGATGTAGATGGTGGTACAAGATTCCAGGTTTTGTTTCGAATGAGAGAATTGAACTCCTCATCCATAGCCTTCCTCCAAACAAGACTTTTAAGAGCTTGGGCAATGGTTTTGGGTTCAGTTTCTGGAACGGGTTTTGAATCATTATCTGTCACAGCGGCTAGAAGATTGAGTTTGTTAATAGGCTTTCTTATATTATTTTGAAGCCTAGTAGTCATGGTATGAGAAGGAGGAGGTGGAGGGATAGGCGGGGAATGTTGAGTGTCAGAAGTTGTAGGTGGGGGGGGGGGTAAGGAAGGGGGGAAGATGTTGGAGTTGATGCAGCAGAAGGTGTAGGTGTTGTATTTATTTGGAAATCATTTGATTGATTCATAGAAGAGGTGGGTGGAGTAGTCGAATAAGTATTGGCGTATAGACCTTATATATTTCAATTGCAAATAGGATGACATTTTTGTAAATAATGGGAATCTGAGAAAAATCGGTGGTAGAAAATATGATGACAAAAAGTACCACTACATGCATAATAGTACATAATAGTATACAAAAATGTACCACTGTACCATTAAAAGAGAGAAAATGTACCACCGAATCTCCGATTGTCCTCCTATATGCATGCAAAATATATAGGCCCTATGCGCCTATATGCACTCGGAGTAGTCAACGTGTTGGTTTGTGAGGGAGGAGTTTGAGTAGGTACAAGAATATTTATAGGACACCACTCCTCAATAATACTAGTTAGAGAGAGTAGTTTGGAGTAAAAAGATCAGAATAAGGGAATTTATTTTTCAACAAAGTGAACATGCCTTGAGGTATTGATCTTATGAATTTTAGGATCTAAACAATAATATGCAATTTGAGTGGAAGAGTACCCCACAAATATACACGGAGTAGATTTGGGCTCTAGCTTGTGATTAGTATATGGTTTTAACTAAGGATAACATAGACACCCGAAACTACGTAACTTGTGGGAATTTGGCATTTTTCCAAAGAGTTTGAGATAAGGGGAGGCATTATTTAGAGTTGGTGTCGGGAGACGATTTATCAAATAAACTGATGTTGAGCACGCATTTGTCCAATATTTTAATGGCATGGAAGCATGAGTAAGAAGAGAAAGATATGTTTCAACAATGTGTCGATGTCTTCTTTTCGAATATTCCTTTTAAAGGGGTGGGAAAGAAAGGGAAGGGGAGAGAAGAATGAAAAGTTTTCCTTCCAAATCTCTCCATTGTTGGAGAGATTGATTTCTTGCAATTTGATCCTTTCATTTCTTTTTTTTTTTCAATTCCCTTCCTTCCTCATTTGTTATCTAAATAAGAGATTATCTATCCCTCAATTTCTCTTCCCTTCCTTTCCCTCCATTTCCTTCAATTCAAAGAAGCCATTTCATTTTTTGTCTATTGTTTTGTCTAGTCACCTTAAAAAAAAAAAAAGAGAGAGAAAACAATGTGTACTCGTATGATTATTAAAACTTGTACTACCTCTGGTTTTTTTTATGTGCAACTTTGGAATATTTTATGTCTCACAAATATTCCTCAAAGTTGCACATAAAAAAAACCGGAGGTAGTACTTTTTTTTTTTGTTTTTTTGAAAAAGAATTTAATCAGTAAAAGGAAATAAAGATAAAACTAGAGAAGTAGTATTTTTGTACAATAAGCTGAACTTGCTCTTTTAGACAAAATTTTACACTATACTTCGTAATATTCAACACTATTGTACTCGTACTAGATACACATTATTGTATTGGATAAATGCTCATGTGAACTTCATTTTGGTTTTACTCTCAACAATGATGAATATGTCTATCAAGCTCGTCATTGTCAACCCCAAACCTATATCAAAATACGTCTATAAGGAAGTTGACTAAGCTCAATAGCCAATGTTGGTCATCGTATTATTGAGACTGTGGACATTATATGTCTATCAATGCTAGTTCGGCCCGAAAATAGGGCGGGTTTGGACAAGTCTAAAAATGCATTTTTTGTTAAAAGTTCGAACCCGGTTCGAAAAAAGTCTGAAAAACCTGCTTTGATCCGACAAGTCCGATACTTTTTTTGCAGGTTTGGGCACGACGTATCATGTTAAGGCCCGGCCCGGCCCGGTTTTTTATCACCAATTATATTACACAACTCTTTGTACTTTGTCACCTTTGTTCTACCCTACGACGCATTAGGAATTCCCTTGGTAGGAAGATGTTTCTAATGTTTTCCTTTTTTTAATTACCTTATAAAATGATGGATATGCCATCTGTCTATGGAAATTAATATAGTCATATATTATGTACATGAGTACACCTTAAATTATTATTGTAGATAATATTTGTACTAATGCAAGAGATACTTATCTATTTCACAACCATTTCCTGCTAGGGGTAAGTTGGGGGTAGGATTACCTTACCCAGCCTCTTCTCCCCCACCCCCAACTTTTCAAAGTGTTGCTAATGTGGATCTCTCAAAACTCTCACAAGACTCGCAAGCTATAATAATATTGGATCTTCGGATTTTAACAAGAATTAAAGAATTACACGAAAATTAATAGGATAGTACTCTAATTCTCGCAAGAATAGAGGGTCTCTTCCTAGTCGCAACTAGAAGATGATCACGCGTCGCAACAAGTGATGTTTTTTATTAACAATCAAACGATCAAACGCTCAAAGGGTTAATTCCCGAAACAAATCTCTCATCATTATTCATTAAAATCACTATTGATATGCACATATTTATAGGGTGAAAAATCGTACAAAGATAGGATAGGAAACTAATAATCATATCCTAAAATAAGATATAATATTAAGAATCCTAATCCTAATCCTAATAAATCTCCTAATCATATTTGTAACCAACTACTAAATCTATCCTAACATAAATAAATTAAACAAATAAATATCCTAATAACTAAAACTCTTAAAGCCTAAAAATAGGAAAAATCTTTTCAAGTGAAAGATAAAAACCCATAGGCAAAATCCTAATAATTAATAATAACTAAAAGATAGTGTAGACTTTATAAAAACTCCATGAATTTTCAAGAAAACCCATATTAGACTATTACTCCCACATCAGTTGCCCGCACTAGGGTTAAGTTGACTTGTGATAAACTTCAATCCAATACGCCACTTTCACCTCGCCTAAATTTTTTTTTCTAGTATAAAAAGAAAGTTCATACGAAGAATGTTTTGAGTTAGGCCTAGCCACCTAGGGTCGGCTATGGACTTCATTCTGCTATTCCGTAAGCGTTGTTTTGTTCACTTCATGTTTTGAAAAGTTCAAATAGTGATTAGTGAATTCAAATAAAATGTGCTAAAGAAATATAATTTCGAATAATATCCAGGCCAATCTCAATTTACATGGATTAAGATGAATTTAGATAAGTTCATATAAAAATTGATATATGGGCTAAAATGAACTTTTAAAATGAAAGATGAAGGATGAAGACTCGTACCTCTTAAAAAAGATACTTACAACATTGGTAAAGTAGAAAGAGACTAGAGTAATACTACAATGTAAAGAAAAAAGTAAAATTTACAATACTTGAGATTAATGGAAAGTTTCCTATAATTAATTAGTCAATACTCCGTAATACCTTTGACCAATCTTTCGCCCTCAAAAACGCTAATCATGTGTGCTGAAGTCTTAACCTAATTACATTATTATGTTAATCATAAATCTACTTAAAATGAGATTACAAGATGCCGACACAATCTAAAGTTTTCTAGCTTAGGAAAGTTATTTTATAATAACAAAATTTTAAAAATAATAATAGTAATAAAACAAAATAAATTAATAAATAGTGATGCACCATCTGCTAGTTTGTTAGGTTGTGTCAATCACAAGTTTAGGTAATTGTCATGCATTTTGTCCTCCTACCCTAAATGATGGAAAATTAATAATCATGTAACAACTACTTTAGTACCCTATTAAAGGGCGGAAAGGCTAAAACATTGGAGTAATTTTGCGACTTTCATTGTAACTAACTTATTATATAATTAGTTAAAGGAGGCTTTTTTTTTTTTTTTAATATAATTAAAAAAAGAATAGAAGTAGAAACTAATTAAGTAAAGGTAATCGATCGATGTTGCTTGTTGACACAACACACAAGGCACAAACAAAATTCACGTGCTAGTCATTCCAACCATGAAAATTAAGTGTGAGCAAATAAGCTCACTACATTCATCGTTTTCAAAGACAATTACTCCTAGTTAAGTTTAGTATTATTAAGGTCATTCTTGGAATGGGGATAGTGTATTAAGTAGGGTGATCATGGGTCAAGTACCCGTACCGTTAACACTGTCGGTTCGGATGCCCGATAACCAATAACACTAAATATGATATCCATTAACCGAACCGATAAATTCGGGTATCCGAACTTTAGATACCCGGATTTTCGGATCGGTTATCGAGTACTCATTATGCTATCTAATAATGAAAATTTAGACTTTATAATCTAGTTATTATGATATCATTCAACACTAATTAACAATAATACCACATAATCATGATATTCATGGCCAAATTACTAATAATATCACTAACCATTTAAAATATGAAGTGATTATGAAGTAAAGTAAGAGTTTAGATTTTAGATAAATAGATTTAAAAAGATAAAAAAAATGAAAAAAAAAAAAATAAAAATGCTTATCGGATCGGATCGGGTAATCGTTAATTTTAAAATGATACCCAATAACCGTACCCGATAACAAATTATCGGATCGGGTACTCAAACCGATATGATTATCAGAACAGGTACCCTAATTTTTGGTTCGATTACGATTCGAATTTTCAGATAATTTTGCTCAGCCTTAATATAAGGGTTAAAAAAAAATCAGATTAATAAAATGATGGATAGTTGCCAAAAAAAAAATGAAATAGTAGTAGTGTATGATTGCAAGGAAAATGAGATTATAATAGCGTGAAAATAAAGGAGGGAGGGAAACTATTGCCCTTATTTTGATTGTAATTGTTATTAGTATAGTGGTGGATGACTATTAGTATACCTATTATGAGGTAATAATCTTCCCATCTCTTTCTTTTCTTCATATCATCACTGGCATAAATTTACATTCAACTTTCTTGATTTGAATTCAACTGTAATATATTTATTAGGCTTTCTAGTATAAATTAAATACAAATTTGTGGGAACAAAACCTAAAAACAGTGTATAATTGCAACTAATTATACAACCAAATCAATACAACGATATGTATTCAAACCAAGCACTTATAATT